GGTGATCAACCTAGTGGACCTTGTGAGAGAACACTTAGGGAGCTTGTTGCTCCTAAATTCACATATGATAGCTTATGTATCCAGTATCCTAATGAAGATGTGCCTTATGTTCTTAAAACTGGACTCATACACTTGTTGCCCAAGTTTCATGGTTTTGTAGGTGAAGATCCTCACAAACATTTAAAAGAATTTCACATTGTCTGTTCCACCATGAAACCTGCAAATGTCCTGTCGCCGCCGTCAGAAGAGGCGGTCGGAGTGACGCAATGGTTTTGATATGACTCGCGTTTTCTTTGAAAGAAATGGTTCAACGCCTTTAGGTCGTCCGATAACCGGGCTAGACCTAAAGGCAAGGTTTTCGAATAGGTTCGAGGAGTCACCGTCAATGTTTTAACCTTAAACACTGAAAAAGGTAAAAAGAAAAAGGCAGTGGTTTTAGAAAAAACCAACTTTAGCCATTACAACCAGAGTCGGGTAAGGGAGTTAGTTACGTGTGGGGAAGGTGTTAGCACCCCCACAATGCCCCTTTCGGGTTCCCTATGATAGACTAACTTAGAAAATAAACGCTTAAAGAAATTACATTTTTACCCTATTATTTGATCTACTTGCAAAATTTAAATATCTACATGGCTCTATTATCTAATGCACACAAAGAAAGCGATAAAGAAAGCAGTAAAAAAGACAGAGAATAGAGAAGGAACCTCCGAAGCGAGATTTATATTAACTCTTCGAAAACGTGAGGACGCTTTTTGGCAGTCCCCGCAGTCTACAAACACGCTCCTCCCGCAAAATAAAGACAAATCACTCTACCGAGGGCCGGATGCCTTAAAAAGAGACTTCCTTAACCGATTTCAACCTTAACGGAAATCAAAAATCTCCCTCGAACCCCGGAATAATGCTTAGGGTCACTCTCAAGTGCCAAAAAGCTTCCAAGAGAGTGGAGGAGTGGAAAAGGTTTGAAAATTCGGAGGAATGAGGCCCCTATTTATAGGGATTCGGGCTTGGAAAAGGTGGACGGCCGTCTGGACAAAGCGGACGGCCGTCCAGGGAAAAAAGTGGACGGCCGTCCATGGCCTTAAAGTTGCCATGGACGGCCGTCTGCTTGTCATGGACGGTCGTCTGCCTGCTCTGGACGGCCATCCACCTGTTCTGGACGGCCATCTGCTGTCTCCGGCGGATTTCCCAATTTTTAATGCCTCTAAAAACCCTTCCTATCCTAATGGAACCTAGAACAAGTTACTGGGGACTTGATAAAGTCTTAACCATCTTTGGAATGGGCGATCTTCAGCTTTATTAGGGGTCCGGGCAAGATTTGGGGTCTACAACTGCCCCCCTTTACCTGACCAATTGACCATGGATTAACATACCATGAGGTCTATTGGCGGGTGAAGGAGTTAACCCTCTTGCCCGGTTGTCTTCTGGATACTCCTCTTGCTGTGGAGGCTGACCCTTCGGACGATATGCTGTGAGGCTTCAGGATGCTCCTTCGGTGCGGCAGCTGACACGTAGAGAATTTCGGGATGCTCCTTCGATGCGGTAGCTGACCCCTCGGTTGATGAGTATGAACCCCCATCAGGTTAGATGCCTCAAGATGCTCCTTCGACGCGGTAGCTGACCCCTCGGTTGATGAGTATGAACCCCCATCAGGTTAGATGCCTTAGGATGCTCCTTCGACGCGGTAGCTGACCCTTTGGCTGTGGTGGCGGCTTACTGCTTCTGGTCATGCGCTGGTTTTTCCTGTGTGCAGGTCTTCGTCTTCAGGTTTTTCATTTCCTGAAGAGGTGGTGGCGGCTTATTGTTTCTGATCATGTGCCGGTTTTGCCTGATGTGCAGGTCTTTGTCTTCAGGTCTTTTGTTTCCTGAAGTGGTGGTGGCGGCTTACTGTTTTTGATCATGCGCCGATTTTGCCTGGTGTGCAGGTCTTTGTCTTCAGGTCTTTTGTTTCCTGAAGTGGTAGTGGCGGCTTACTGTTTCTGATCATGCGCCGACTCCATGGGGAGTAATTGTTCTTGATTCTTGTGTAGTCATCCGGTATGCCGGGGATTCTTCGCTTTTTGGATTGTAGCCGCCGTCAAAAAGAGGCGGTCAGAGCGACGTGATGGTTTTTCGACCCTTTATGTTTTTCGCGTTTTTTATAGGTGGTTACAACGCCTTTAGGCTGTCCGATAACCGGGCTAACCTAGGGGCGAGGTTTTCGAAAGGTGTCCTTGGCTTGTCCGATAACCGGGCTAATCCAAGGACTTATTTATTTTGGGTTCTATGGAGTCGCCACCGATGTTTTTACCGGAAACATCGGAAAATGTTTTTAAAAGGCGTTGGTTTTTGAAAACCAACTTTGGTCATTAGAACCAGAGTTGGGTAAGGGAGTTAGTTACGTAGTAAAGGAAGTATTAGTTCCTTTACTACGCCCCTTTTGGGTTCCCTATGATAGGCCAACTTTTATTGTTAATAAATAAACCGGAAAATATACTTTTGCCCTTTTTATTATGCGGAATTTAAAATGATGACTACATGGCCCTAATCTATTGCATAATTAAAATTAAAGCGTTAAAAGTAGAGAGGGGGAAATTAAACCTCCGAAGCAAGCTTTGTTTTATATTTCTCTTTGAAAGAGGGTGCTTTTTGGCAGCCCTTCACTCTACAAGACGTCGGAAACTCTTCTAGACGCCGAAAAAAGCTCTCAAAGACACTCAGAAACTCCGGAAATGCGTCGGAGGGATTCTAGAAAGAAGTTTTTAGAGAGAAGGCAGAGCTAATGCTTGAGGTGTGTGGAAATGAGGGGGGGAGGACTGGATGGGTATGAACCCCCCATCAGGCTGGTAAGGTAGTCCGTTGTGTGGGACTGGATGGGTATGAACCCCCCATCAGGGTGATACAGTTTGTTGTGTGGGACTGGATGGGTATGAACCCCTCATCAGGGTGGTAGTGCGACTTACTGATCTGGCTCAAGCGCAGATCAGGCGCAACGTGTGCGCAATTTGATAGGTATAAACCCCCTATCAGGCTGGTACAGTCCACTGCGTAGGACTGGTGGTAGTGGCGGCTTACTGCTTAGGTAGCTCATGCGCCGATCAGGCACTCCTTGTGCGCTGGTTTGGTACAGTCCACTGCGTAGGACTGGTGGTAGTGGCGGCTTACTACTCGGGTAGCTCATGCGCCGGCTCTCTGGAGAGTGTTTTCTGTGTTTGGTTGATTGTTCTTGGACCTCTTGAATGGTCATCCAGGCTGTGCCGGGGATTTTGTGGGTGCTCATCCAGCTTGCTTGTTTGCTGGGGATTCTTTGTTTTTGACTTTTGGTAGTGATCATCTGATTCTTGCTGGCTGGTCGGATGATTCTTGTTTTGTTCGACTCTTGCTTGGCAGTCAAAATTTTGTTGATTGAGGTGATGGCTTAATCCTGCCTTTTTCTCGCGGTTTTATCTTTTTTTTCTCGCGATTTAGGATTTTTGGCTTTTTTATTGAGCGTACGTCTTTTTACTCTTAGTTTTTTTTCGTGTTGCGCCGACTTTTGGAAAGGATGGCAAAAAGATGCATGAAATAAAATTTTATTTATGGGGGAAATTTTATTACAACCCTATTTTTGCAAGTACTATCCTAAGGGCTATCCTCTGGACCCGATCCCTGTGGAGGGAAGTGCTGGTACATATGATACCGGAAGTCCGCATGTTCTTGGACTTCATCCCGGTACTCTTGCTGGAATGTTGTCCATTCGTGGCGCATGTCCTGTTGGTGCTGGTACATTTCTCCCAGCCGGGTGTCAAAGGTATTTTGACTTTGGGATAGTTCCTCTTGCCTCTGGGATATTTGCTCTTGCCTCACAGTCATATGGTCGAACTGTTGGCATAGATCGCTCATGTGGCGGTGCATGCCAGCGAAGTCATCCACATACCGTGTCGGCTGCTGCTGCTGCTGCTGCTGTTGGAAGTCGGGAGATGTGGGCAGATCATGCATTGCATCCTGGAGTTCCAATGCAAAATCTAGTGTGGGATGAAGGGCCAACTGGGTCCCTCTGCAAATCAGCATTCCCATGCTGAACAAGATCGACCCGCTGATGGATTCGGGTTGCAGGTTGTGGGCCAGCTCCTCCCGGCCAGGGCACCCCAAACTCTCTGCCAGGGGAGTGATGAGTGGAGCCATGAGGACGACCCCCGTGGATCTGTGCCCGAAGTCCTTGAGGGCTTTCAGGAAGAAGTACCCGGGGTTGCAGCACCGCTTCTGGCTCATGCAATATAGTACGAAGAGGTCAGGGAGGGATATTTTGCCCTGACTCTCTTTCCTCCCATGTATGGTTCCTGCCAACAACTTGTGGCAGATATAGAGTGCTGGGGGAAGCGCGGATCCCCTCATCAGCGTGGGTAGTGTGGTGGCTCCCGTGAGCTCATGCCACATCTCGGCGGCGGTAAGGTTGGTGGGCCGTGAGCAGATGGCCTCACGGTACTCCTGGGTCGTGGCGTCCTCGGGCCGGACGAACCCGATGGTTACGTTGAATTCTTTGAGGGTGGAGTCTGGTATTGCCCACCCATAAAATAGGTCACCATCCTGGTGGGCGGTAGGCCCGGGACCGTGGAGGGGACCTCAGAGTAGGAGACAGAGGCTAGGAACTCCAATACCGCTTGCGGGTACACATGTGTAGGTCGTGACTGCAGCAGGAAGCCCCACCCGATGCTATCTAGATGGGCCCGGACGTCGTCCTCCCATCCAAATTCAGCTAGGATGTTAAAATCCAGCTTGAGCATTGGATGCCACTGGTAGGTCCGGATATTTTCAAGGCGGGCCTGGTGCTGTGGCGACAGTTGAGAAGGGTCCTGGGACGGCGGTGCTACGGAACTACTGGCACCGGTGGTGCTCCTTCTCTTCCTGGAGGCGCTTCTACCAAACATTTTGGCCAGAGGGTACTAGGGAGTGCAGGAGTTGAGAGAAAGGAGATTCTGGAGGCAAGGGGAGTTGTGAGGAAGTCCCCAAGCGCGCCCCCTATATATAGGGAATTTTGCAAAATCGAGACCGCCGTTTGGGTGGGCAAGACGGCGGTCTCGTGTCTCATCCAAGTCGAGACGGCAGTCTGGTCCATCGAGACGGCGGTCTCGACGTTCGGCTTAATCAAGACGGTGGTCTCGTTGATCGAGACGACGGTCTCGTTTTCGCCTGTGTCGAGACGGCGGTCTAGTTGGTCCAGACGGCGGTCTCGAATTACGGAAGAGATTTTTTCTTTTATTTTTGTATTTTTTGTTGCTTTTTTGTTATTTTTTGAAAGAGGTAATAGGACCTGGTCTAAAAACATTTTATGCATGCAATGTTTTTATGTTTTGATGTCCTATAATGCCTATTTTGGTTAAGTTTTCAGAAGGATTTAACCAACGTGTCTCGTTGTGCTGAAAGCCCTCCGATTCGCTGCGTTTACTCTTGGTTGTACCATGCCAGACTTCTTGTGACCGAAGGGTAATTTTTTCTTTCTCTATTTTTCTCTTTTTCTTCTTTTTCTTTTTTCTTTTGTAGAGCACTTTTGTCACGTAGTGTCCCTCTTTCCTTGCTTTAGGGATTTCAATCCTCTTGTTGACTATACGCCTCCATATTCCCAAATTAATTATTAGAATATTGTCGTGAGGGTCAAGAGAAAAGAAGTAAAGGGGTAAAAATCAATGGTTTGTGTTTTAGAGGGTTGATTTTTATTGATAAAAGGATTTTGTAAGAATGGTTGGTTAGGGTTAAGCTTAGGTGTCTAGGCTTTGTCTAAGCAAACATTTTTCCTTTTTTTTTTTGTATTTGCGCTCTTTGGTTTCATCTCCATTGCTTTTAAATGGCTAGCTGATTTCCCTAGAACGCCCTTTGGGTTTTCGAACTAGGATACTGTGTTTGGCCCTAACTTTTGTCTAGGTTCCTTCCTTTGTAAAATTTTGGAGAAATCCTAGCGGACTTTATTTGTAACCCTAACTTTTGCCTAGGCTACCCTTTATTGTTGTTCGGGTGTCCTACCGGGTCGACCCTATCTTTTGTGTAGCTCCCTTAGTGGGTTTCCTACCGGGTAATTTGCCCTTTTCTTTGGCCTTTGGCTTCTCTGGGCTTTTTCTTTTTTTGTGGATTTATTTTTTTTCACAGTATTGGCGAAGCGTGACTTTCTTTATGGATGAAGTGAAGTCTTATTCTTAGGTGCTTCTAATCAACTAGCTTGATGGTAATAGCAATGGTAAATGTTGATTATTTGGAAGCACTTTTTATTCTTCTTCTTTTTTATGTTTACTTAGACAGGGTTATTCACGTGGTCTAGTCAGAAGTAGAAAGAAGAGAAGCAGATAGAAAGAGTCATTCTTTATTAATTAATAAGGGAATATGTGCCCTGAAATGCCCGGGGGTCGGGCTCGCCCCGGGGGATAGTCTCTAACAATCATGGGGTTTACATCCCTTCAACAAAGAAAAAGATTTCCTAATGACTAGAGTGGCTCTTGACGCTTGCACCCCTCCACTTCGGAAAATTTGCTTGAGTGTGCGGAGGGGAGACTTCCCTTTTCTCCTTTCTGCTCGGCCCTTAGTAGGGTTATATCCTAGGCCGTACTTGCAAGGATTGTCTTTGAATTCTGGGGGTTCCCTCATGCCTTGGGAATCTGCCCCCAGTCCTTGGCCAGGATGGTAACCGTGCTTCAACATCATGCGGGCTACCTTTGTGTTTCTGGGAAGTCGCTCTATACTGGCAATTTCGAGCGCTTGAAAAGGTGTTTCAAGAGCCTCTTCAGCCGCATCCACATAAGGTTGGGTGGACGGTCCACTGATAAGGATATCGTCTTCTGCTTGGACCGTGCCCAGTTTGTCGCCCACTATGAATTTGACTTTCTGGTGGAGCGTCGAAGGTACTGCCTTAGCGTCATGAATCCAAGGCCTGCCGAGGAGACAGCTGTATGCTGGAGTAATGTCCATTACATGGAAATCGACGTTGAAAGTAGTGAGTCCAACTTGGATTGGCAAATTGACCTCTCCCACTACTTCTCGTTTTGATCCGTCGAAGGCTCGAACGATGGTGCTGCTTGGGTGCAGACGGGTTCCTTGGATAGTCAACTTATCCAGTGTGCACTTGGGCATCACGTTTAGGGATGACCCATTATCCACAAGAACTTTGACGATGAGGTACTCCTTGCATTTAACCGAGATATGCAAGGGCTTGTTGTGGTTTGACCCCTCCAGGGGGAGTTCTTCCTCTGTGAAGGTGAGGTGATCGTTTGCCGTGATGTGACCGACGATCCTCTCGACCTTTTCTTGGGATATTGTGTGAGGTACATGCGCCTCGCTCAAGACCTTCAGCAGGGCGTTTCTATGCGGTTCCGAGCTCATTATCAAAGATAGCAATGTGATCTTTGCAGGTGTACGGTTGAGCTGGTCTATAATGGAATACTCACTTTGTCTTATGAACTGGAGTAATTCCTCTGTCTCCTCCTTGGATTCTTTATTTTCTTTTCCTTCTTCGGTCTTTTTATTTTTTCCTTTATTTTGGAGGACATCTTCCTGTGTGTCCTTGGGGGAGTAGATTCTTCCACTTCTAGTTGTGCCCCCAATGCCGGCTATGTTTGTTATTTCTTCTTTTATCGGTGAAGATTCCCCATATCTCCACGGTACAACTTTATTTGACTCGTAGGGGAAAGGACGTGGCATAAATAGTCGCACTGGCGTCCTTGCCCCCTCTTATTTATTCTTGAGGACCAACGGCCGGGGTTTATTTTCCTCTTGCGATGATTCGACCGTTGGGGTGAGCTTTATTAGGAGTGGCTTCCTCTCCATTCTTCTGAGTTGGAAGACGTGTTAGTTAATCCTTCCTTTTTATTATCTTTATTTATTAAGTGTGAAGGAGGGGAAATTAAATATGCAAATGAATGCTTATGCATGCGAGTAGACAGTGATTGAACAAAAGGAATTTTATTTATTCAAAAAAAAGGTGTACATTCCCCTATTCTATATTGCGAAGCAACTTTTGGCAAAAGCGGAAAACTTTAAAGAAACCCATAGGAGGGTCTTGATTCCTCTGTAGTTCCCTCTCAGCTTCCCGGACGTGATGGGCAAGTGCTTCGCTTTGTTTGCGGACTGCCTGGCTCATATCTTCATTGTATTGTTGAGCCTCTTTGATCTTTGCCTCTTGATGAACGACCAAGGCTTGTAGTTCATCGAGCTTTTCAACGGTTCGGTCTTTCTCTTGAAGTACTTGGCCGTACTGAGCTAGCCCATCTCTTTCTTTGTGGCGTAGCTCAGCGAGACTTCTGTTGAGTCTCCGGTTGGCCTCCCGCTCTTGGCGGATGTCTAACCGAGTCTTGAGGAGCTCTTCCGACAACTCCTTGATCGTTTGAGCCTGCTTTACTGCTTCGGCCTCAAGGTGTGCTGACCTGGCGGTTATCTCCTGCAGTTGGCTATCCGAACTGGTTCTGGCAGTTTTGGACGCTCGGATAGCTTGTTCATGGGAGTCAGCGCATTGGTCCTTGAGGCGCTCTATTTCATGATCCTTTTTCTTGCCTTGCCTTCGCAGACCATCAATCGTGAGGATAGATTCTTGCTCCTTTTCTTCAATGGCCCTCATCTGGGCTCCCATGATCTCTATCCTCTGGGTCAAGGCGTCAATTTGAGCCTGCAGCCCTTCATTTTTGGCGCTCGTGGTAGGTGCGGTGGATGATTGAGCCACCCCTCTTCTATTTCTCCATGCCTCATAGTCACTGGTGACAGCCACCCGAGCTTTTCCTAGCTCTCAGTCTCCCATGTAGACTGGCCTCTCCCATGCTTTTCTCACGGCTAGTGAGTTGGAGATGGTGCATGGGTCTCCAAAGAAGCACGGTCCTCCGAGCTCCCCTCGGAAATGGTAGTTTGGGTCCTCATGAGCTGCCTCATAGCTACTTTAGGTGAGTAGGCTATGCAGCCCCTGAGTCCGATCAAGGGTACACTCGGGTAGTCCCCACATCTGATGAGAACTGGGCCGGGTCGGAACCAAGGACAGACCCAGGATATACTGTTGGTGTCCTTGCGCTCCCACTCATCCCTCCATTTTGAGGTCAGACGACGCTGGAGGGGGATCTTGGAGAAACTTCTCAAAGGGTCGGGGAATATGCCCATGTGACTGGAGGCGTACAGGTGAGTGGCGCTCCACACAAATAGCAATGAAGAGCAGTAGCGGAGTATTTTTCCCTGCTTCTGGTGACAGAATTCCACCGAGAGCAGGGTGTCGACAAGAATAGCAGGCAGGGGACTTTTCGAATTCACGTCCCAGGCGAAGAAGGTGTCCATGACGGCCTGATCTACTATGTCGAAATGGAAGGGGAACAAGACTGTTCCAAAAATTATGAGTGCCAGGGTTTTGTTAAAGGCAACCCACTCTGTCCGTTCAGCCAGGTAGGACAGGTGGTCTTCTAACATCGTTACTTTCCAACCCTGGGTGTTCCCCTTCTTTATCAGGGTACTCTGGCGGAATGGCAACTGAATAAGGGCAGCGACTGGTGTTGCGGGAGTATATGCCTCGTGGCGAACATGGACCCCGGCTGATTTGGGCCACTTCAACATGGTCTCATACTCCTCTAGGGTGGGCACCAGGTCGAACTGTGGAAACTCGAAACATCGCAGATTTGGATTCCAGTAGTGGATTAGTGCCCTTAAGGATACCTGATCGACACATATCTTTAGGAGGTCTAAAATCCGTCTGTAGGATTTTTCGAAATCGGCGCGGACCTCCGATGGCATTACTGTGCTTAGTCGTTCCAACCTCTCAGTATGGAAACGGGGAATGTCCACCTTCTTTGTCTGCCTACTTGTCCCCTCCATTTCTAAAACTAAAATGCATTTTTGATGAAATGGATGCTTATTTGAATGTATGTGAGTGTTTATTTTCTATTTATCATGTTTTTCTACATGATGTTTGTGTATTTTTATTTTGGAAGAATAAACTATCTATATGAATGTTTTATGAGTATAACATTTTTGGACCAGGTCTTATTTACAGACTTTGGAAAAATGGATTTTATTTTCATTTGTTTGTTTATTTTATAGCCTTTTATCTCTTCTGTCGGAACTGCGTGGCTACTTAGCTTACAAAGAACCTGAAACCAGGCTAGCTAAAAGGCAGACTGTCCGAGATAAAATATGGCTTTATGCAAAAGAATATTTAGCGTCCCTTATCTCTTCTGTCGAAACTGCGTGGCTACTTAGCTT